TCATACATGATATGAATTGCATCATATTATTCCTAGAAGTCATGGATGATGCAAATTGCCCTATATCAGCTCTAGAAATCATACAGTGTCGTGCTCTCTTATTTGTCAGTGTTTGATTTTGTAAAGGGACACATTTCTGTTTAGCCAAAGTGAGCAGAGATGCCTCGTACTTGTGTGAACAGTGCAGATAACTTCTGCTATGTTTGTGGTGAAGTGACTTTTGCATCACAAAAGCGCAGTATAACCACTATAACCACCCTCAACAGCTCTGAACTACTCACCCAGTTCTGCTCCAACCCCCACTAACCTCCCCCAGCTCTCCCTGCCACCAACCATTGCTTGTTGTCCCCCCAGTTCCCTGCCCCATGCAAAGTGGCCCATGCTTTTACCTTTGTGCTCTGTCTCTGGGTGGCTGCCATGTCTTCCTTCTCTAGAGCCTTCCCTCCCCCAGCACTGCGATTCCCCCATGCCTTCTGCACACATCCTTGTTGACTGCTCATGCCTGGGGTCGCCCCATCTGGAGGGGTCCCTCATTCCAGCCTCCTCTCTGCCCTGTGGGGCCAGCAGGCTCTACTTTCCCCCTGGCTGATTGGGCCCCCATAACTCCAAGGACCCTGGTGCTACTGGAACAGTGCTATGTTACAAAAGTAGAGCTGACAGAATGAAATGCTGGGTTAGCAGAGAAGAAGAAAAAAATCCTGGAAAATAATGTGTCTGGCAAAAGTAGTGTCCTTATTTTCTTCTCCTCACATGCAGGTACACAGGAGCTTTATATGGCAGGATAGTTGGCCTGATACTTGTGTCCATTTTTGGTGTTCAGACCAATGAACAAGGGGCATGGATTGATCCGGGACTCTTTGCTGCTGTTGGAGCTGCTTCTTTTTTCAGCGGTGTGTCAAGACTAACCATCTCCCTCACAGTTATCATGGTAAATGTATTAAGTTCTCAGATATTTGGCCAACTTGCAGGCTGGGGTGGCGTAAATCTTCTGCTGTCACATGAACTCCACACTCATGACCCAGGAGTGGGTGGGTCAGGTTTTGTGGCCCGCATCATGCGGGAGGTCAGACTAGATGATCATAATGGTCCCTTCTGACCTTAGAGTCTATGAGTCTATGACCCACAGACACAAGTTCATCGGTGGGAGGCTTGTTGGTTAGTTGTTTTATTTTTGGTTTTCTTGGGGTGTTTTTGCAAGGATTTTCATTAGCAAAATATGTTTGGAATTGGCACTTAAATTTAGAGAGAAGAGAATCCATTTCTTGTCTCCATAGTAACCGAGGTGTCAATAATGTACCAGCAAGGGAGCAGAATCCAGGACCTCTCTTTTGATTAGTTGTAAAACCTGGATTATTATATTTAAATATCTGACACCTGAAGTGAGGGGTGACTTTTGTGGGGAGGGAGGTCTTGCACAATGTGTCTTTGTAAGTGTACTCCTGAGATTCCCTCACAACGGGGTGCCCCACTTGTTTTTGTGTACCTCTAATTTTGAGCAGAACACTTTTTTTCTTTAGAACACACTGGGACTGTTTACATTGGGGACAAAGTTAAAGGCTAAATGGAAAAGTATTACAATTAGAGGGGTCTTAGCCTACCCTGGTTTCAATACCTGTGCCTAAGGATTGAGCAATTAGTTGTGCTGAGAATGGGAGGGACAGATGAGACTTGAGTTGGCTGAAATTCACACTAGACAAGATAAGTGATGTGGATACCACAGGTTCAGATCCTGTCAGGAAAGACTCAACATTTCATCCACCCAAGGTACATCAATCATGTTCCATGGATATCGGTGAGTGTGTGGGTGTGCATGTGTTTGCGTAAGCACAAAAAACATTCAGATGGGACCTTAAACCAATATTCTGTCTGCCCTAATTGATTTGTCTTTAAAATGTCATGATTTTATGACCTTGTAAACTAGGGTTATAGAAATGGGATGAAAATTAGTAGTGGAAAGTGGAAAGTCATGCATTTAGAGAGTAACAACAAGAATTTTTGCTATAAACTGGGGATGTCTTGGAATCATTGTGGATAGTTCTCTGAAAACATCCACTACAGTCAAAAAAGCTAGCAGAATGTTGGGAAAGGGATAGATAATAAGACAGAAAATATCATATTGCCACTATATAAACCCATGGTACACCCACATCTTGAATACTGCATGCAGATCTGGTGGCCCCATCTCAAAAAAGATATATTGGAATTGGAAATGGTACAGAAAAGGGGAACAAAAATGACTAGAGACATGGAACAGCTTCCATATGAGGAGAGATGAAAAAGACTGGGACTTTTCAGCTTGGAAAAGAGACTTCTAAGGGAAGATATGATAGAGGTCTATAAAATCATGGCTGGTGTGGAGAAAATAAATAAGGAAGTGTTATTTACTCCTTCTCATAACACAAGAACTGGGGGTGGGGGTGGGGTGGTCACCAAATGAAATTAATTGGAAGCAAGTTTAAAACAAACAAAAGGAAGTATTTCTTCACACAACACACAGTCAACCTGTGAAACTCTTTGTTAGAGGATGCTGTGAAGACCAAGACTATAACAGGGTTCAAAAAAGAACTAAATCATTTCATGGAGGATAGGTCCATCAATGGCTATTAGCTGGGATGGGCAGGGATAGCCTCTGTTTTCCAGAAGTTGGGAATGGTCAACAGGAGGTGGATCACTTGATCACTGTTCCATTCATTCCCTCTGGGGCACCTGGCATTGGCCACTGTCAGAAGACAGGATACTGGGCTAGATGGACCTTTTGTCTGATCCAGTATGGCTGTTCTTATGCTTTCGTGATGTATCAGTTGAAAGTGACAGAGGAGGAGAAAGACCTGGGTGTACTGGATGATCACAGGATGATTATGAGCCACCAATATGATGTGGCTCTGAAAAAGGCTAATGCGGTCCTAGGATGGATCAGGTGAGGTATTTCCAGTAGAGACAGGGAAGTGTTTAATACCCTTATGCAAGGCACTGGTGGGATGTCATCTGAAATAGTGTATACAATTCTGGTTACCCATATTTAAAAAGGATGAATTCAAGCTGGAACACGTGCAAAGAAGGGCTACTAGAATGATCCAAGGAATGGAAAACCGACCTTATCAGAAGAGACTCAAAGAGCTTGGCTTGTTTAGTCTAACCAAAAGAAGGCTGAGGGGAGATGTGATTGCTCTCTATAAATACATCAGTGCCATAAGTTAACTGCCAATATGGACACAAGAACAAATGATATAAACTGGCCATCAACAAGTTTAGGCTTGAAATTAGATGTAGATTTCTATCCATCACAGGAGTGAAGTTCTGGAATAGCCTTCCAAGCAGGGCCAGTGCAACCACTAGGCGAACTAGGCGGTCGCCTAGGGCGCCTAGTGGTTGAGGGCGCCTAAAAGCCCGCTCAGGCGAGGAGGTGGAGTGGAGGTGAGCTGGGGCAGAGGGGCGCGGGGAGGGCTTCCCGCAGTAATGGGGAGGGGTGCACAGGGGAACTGCTCCCCGCCCCAGATCACCTCCATTCTGCCTCTTCCACTGAGCACACAGCCTCCGTTCTAATTCTCCTCCAATCGACGCTGCAAGCCTGGGAGGGGAGGAGAATTAGAGCGGTGCCAGCGTACTCAGCGGAGGAGGCGGAGGGGAGGTGAGCTGGGGCAGGCTCCCTGGGCGGGGTTAGCTTCCGCGGGTGGGGTTAGCTGCCATGGAGGCGGGCTCCCTGGGTGGGGTTAGCTGCAGAGACAGGGTAGCTGCTGCGGGAGTGGGGACTCCCCATCTGGTGGGCTGGGTTAGCTGCCGTGGCAGATGGGGTTAGCTGCGGGGGGGGGGGGGGGCTGGTTAGCTGAGGCAGGGGGCGAGTTTAGCTGGGTGGGGGGGGTGGCCCAAGATGGAAGTTTCGCCTAGGGCGCAAAACTTCCTTGCACCGGCCCGGCTTCCAAGGGGAGCAGTGGGAGGCAAAAAAGGTAACTGGCTTCAAGATGGAGTTTGATAAGTTTATGGAGGGGATGGTATGATGAGATTGTAGCTGATCTGAAACTGCCAGTAGCAGATATCCCCAATGGCCAGAGATGGGGCACTAGATGAGCAGGACTCTGAGTTACTACAGAGAATTCTTTCCCAGGAGCATCCCACATGCTCAGGGTTCAACTGATCATCATACTTGGGATTGGAAGAAATTTTCCCCTAGGTCAAATTGGCCAAGACCCTGGGTTTTTTTCACCTTCCTCTGCAGTATGGGGCAAGGGTCACTTGCAGGTTTAAACTAGTGTAAATGGCAGATTCTCCATAACTTGAAGTCTTTAAATCATGATTTGAGGACTTCAGTAATTCAGCCACAGGTTAGGGGTCTATTACAGGAATGGGTGGGTGAGGTTCTGTGGCCTGCAATGTGCAGGAGGTCTGACTAGATTAGCATGATTATATTATAATATAGTATATGAAATAAAATGAAAAATAAAAAATGCTTAGTTTAAAAAATGTTGAAACAGGACATTTTGACATTGTCAGAATCCTTTCCCACCAATTTTCTTCTGAAAAAAATTTCTGGGGAAATCCACGGGGTTTTACAAAGCATTGTGTTTTTGATGGAACTGTGTAGTCTGTCAGTTTATAGTTGAAATTTTTCCAACCAGCTCTATTTGTCACCATTAACCCAGAGGTGGTTACATGTCAGTAATGCTTTATGTATATGGTTTGTAAAGCATTTTTTGGCTCCTTCAGGATGAAAAGTGTTATGTATACATAAAATATTCTTATTTTATTATGAAATGATGAACAGACGCTATTGTTTACTGAAGCCCTCTCTATCCCATGCCCACTTCCTTCCCTTTTAAGTGTGTATGTGCTAAAGTGTTCTTCTGTGAAATCTGGAGGAACTGGAGCTGGGATAGTTACTCCCTACACAGCTGCTTTAAGTTATCTGAAAGCTACAAGATGGCATTAGCCTAATGCCTTTGCCAGGGGCGCCTGGGTTTACATGCACTGGCTCTATGAAAATCCAATTTAAATATCATTTGTATCCTGTCACTTTAGGAGCTTGTTGCCGATCTAGCACCTCAATGGGAAGACAGTTGATTGACGTCTTCCTTAGCTTGGTGCCTGAAAGGCTGTGGTTCACAGTAGGGAAGTTCAAAATTATTTCTTGCCAGAACACTTACCAGTTTTGCATGATGAAACCAGAACTGTGCTTAGTACAATTCTAATAAAGAGGCAGACACTGTAAATTTTGTTCTTTACAGCCCCCCTTCCCTGACTCCTGTTTTTCTGAGTGCCAACTATGAGCATACAGAATTAGCATTGAACTGCTAAGACAACAGCTTGAATCAGTTGAAAAGGCACCAGAAAAATGATTATGGTTGCACTGCAGTGTGCTCTGAAATCCCCTAGGTGTCATGTTCCAACTCCTCTGTGCCTTGTTGTTTTGCAAAGGGAGATTGTGCTTCAATTCAAGTTCACCCAAAATAAATAGCTGTATTGCTTTAGGAAATATTAATTTTTGAGGGGGAATAAAAGGACTTGGACGTGACAATGCGAAAACATAGTTATAAGGTTGTGCCCCCAAACCATAAAATGCACATATTTTCCTATATAGTCTGATAAGTTCAAAAATAATTGGGAATGTTTGCTTTGGCTTTCCACATAGCCTTCCATTTGGAAACAGTTATGAATGTGGGGCTTGTAGTGAACAGGTTTGTAAAATGCTTTCTTTTCTTTTTGTGGCAGACCCCACAGGCATTTGGCCACCTCTTCTTTCTTGGCTGCCTCTTTCTACCCCCGCGTGCACTCCCCCCCACGTATTGACACTTGATCCTCATCGTCTGCCCTTTGTGGCAAATGGTAGATGTGGTGATGTTTCCCTTGGAGACTACAAGAAGTGCAAGACCTCTGTCCCCACATCCTCCTGTTGCTTGAGGCTGCATAATTGTCCTGAGTTCACTTCAAGAGGAT